CACTACCACTACCACTACCACTACCACTACCACTACCATCAAATCATACAAGAGAAAATAAACTAAGAGAAGGAATTCCCTCTATATAGCCTTTTAACCATCATGTGCACAGTTTGATGCTATATTTGTTTTTCTGTACGCGCATTTATATACTGCGCGCGCTCTACGCTGTTTGCTTACGTTTTTGGGGTTTTTCCGTTATTTCGACTCTGCCTGGATATGAATGTCGAAAGCTTGGCAAATACGACAGAAAATTGAAGTGTAATTTGTTCAAATTTTTACATTTATTTTCCAAAGCTTACGACCTACATCGTCATCTTGAGGGCAGATTTGAATATTTAAACATTAGAAAAGCACAAGAAAACGTTAGCAAACAGCGTAGAGCGCGCACGTACTATGCGCATGCAGAAAATCAAACGATCCAATAAATGATATCATTGGATGATATTTTTAGAATAGATTCTAAAAATAGCATCAAAATGTGCACATAATGGGGCGCGGGGATTGCTTCTCTTAGTTCATATTCTCTTGAATCATAATTATCATTATCACCACCACCACCACGGCTATCACAACCATCATCTTCATTCTTCTTATCTTTACCGCCAGCCCCCCAGCACCAGCACCAACGTCATTAACGTAATCGTCATAATAATCATCAACAACGCCACTATTTCTACCACCAGGAGCACTATGAGCATGATAGGTTTTGCTTGAGTGTGCACAAGCAATAATGATTTTACATACCATTTTGAACGCAGCTTAATCCACAGTCTCCGTCACACAGGCATTGGTGATTGGCTCTGCAATCGCTGTCTGAGGTACATTGCCGATCCAAACAGTACCTGAAGGGCTTCTTATTGGTACGTCTACACTTCTGAGCTTTCGCCTGCAGTGTGTCTGTAAATATGTAACACAATAAGAGAAACACACAGATAACTTATGAATAGTAGAAATTTAAGTTAAAAAAGTCATATTCAAGTCCCGTTGCTCTGGTCTCAGTTCCTGAAAAAAATACTTTTAGAACAATTGCAAGTAAATATTAAGCTTGGAAAATCGCGTACAACGGGTGATCTATATTCTACTGAAATATACTTTTGCTATGAGCTGTAGCTTGAAATACAGCAAGAGGTTGACAACACCGACTGAGAATGTTAGGCAACTTTTATCAGTTAAGTCGTGTAATCTTGGGAAAGGTTTATTTTCTTACAATCTGCGGTTTTCAGCCATTCTCAAGAAGATCAAGAAAAAGATATGTCGGCCATGCTGCTGGACAGGTACACCAGGACCTAATAAGAAGTTTTGATGGTTTAACGTGAAAACCCGGGGCGTGAAAACGAAGAATCTGTCACGCTCATCAACGATAAAATGAAGAAGAGACGACAACTGCAAATGTTCGTGCACTTTTTTCAAAAGGTCTGACGATTTTTTATGGCACTTTCTTTAAGCCAAAATATAATAAATCGTCTGTTCATGAAGCCAACTAAAAAATGTCATTCCCCGTTTCTCTATATTCAGTCAGTCAGTATTAAAAGATGAGATAGTGAAGAAGATAAGATTACTGGAAAACTTCGTGCATTATTTTTAAGTATGACAATTTTTTGAATCGAATCGAAATAAACCTTAGTTTGTAAAAGCTGTCATCCCCGTTTCTATATAAATTTATAATTTTTCATAATCTGTCACGCTCAGTATTAAAAGAAGAGATATTGAAGAAGAGACGACAACTAGAACTGAATTTTTCGTGCAATATTTTTAAATCTGACAAATTTTTATGGTACTTTTTTTGTTTCAAAATGTGGATGGCAAATGTCGTATGTTCCCAGATCGAAACAGGCCTTGGCTGGAAAAGCTGTCATACGCCGTTTCTTTACAAACAATTTTTATGTGCTTGACATCACGATGTGGGCCAAACGTTATCGCAATGTTTAGAGCATTCTTATGAGTTCTATGAGGATTTATAAAGAATCTACAAGAGTCTACGAGTTAAGAAAATATGATACTAAACAGAAGTCGTGCAAGGACAGGAACAGTAATCTACAGGACACAGACAATACGTATTTACTAGAATATTCTTGATAAATGTCACTACATACCTTGAAAGTAGAGTAAGATACAAAGCACGAGGATGCAGATCCTTCCAGGGCCCATGACGGTAAAAATGTAACGCTATCGTGGTTAGTCGTTTAATATTTAGAGTCTAAAGAATTCTTTCCAGCTCGATCGACTGATCGTAGACGAAATGGAGAGGGAAGTTCTGATCTGATCTTGACTTTCCTGGTTGGGTACGATCTCCAATAAATATCGTATATCATAACTACCGAAGTATTCAGTTACACATGTCTTATATTGAACGTGTATCAGCTTGTGAGGAAAGTGAGATGTTTGTTTAGGTGATGACCACAGGAAGTCGGTATCAAGATTGTCTTACGCTAAAGATAGCACGGGACCTTGGCCAAGTCACGCCCATCCTGACATTGGTAGTGGCTATGGGGAATCTCAATTTCCCTGGGGAGGGGAGAGGATTTTTGCCAACAGATGTACAGGGTAAGGTCATGGCATACCCAAACTGACAGGGAGTACCCTTAGACTCACAATCATCCAGACCCTTATGTGGAGATTTTAAGTGGTACGACTTCCGCGGCTATGAAAATGTGACTTCCGGTCATTTAATATTTTTTTAGTTTCTCGTCCTAAAGAATGTGCACTCACCACTCAGTCACTTCCCCACCACAATCTCGTGAGCGCACGCTTCGTAATTGGAAGGGGAAGATCTATAAATATTTTCGAATTCGTTTCTATCGCTGTGCATTGATCATTAGTAAATCTTTTTTAAAAGAGCATTTTCACTCATGCGATAAGTCAGCCATATTGGTGTACCAAACAATGGAAACTTTCCGCACAGTTTTTGCATGGAGTTCAATTCCCGAGGATAGAAAATGTATTGCTTGGTACACCAACTCTTACGTCACGTGAAAACTGTCTATTTGAGTAATACGTGAAGATGTGCCAACAGCTGCTTGGCTTGAATGCTGGGAAGTGATTACGATTATCGACACGTTCAACTACTACTACTATTAATTCATTATTTATTTATATGTTTACTTGAATATCGAATTTTTTACAGGATCGAAAATAATACAATCAAAAATCAATGAATATTATAGCATATTAATTAACATATAGCAAAGGAGGTGTGTGTGGGTGATTTTTATAAAGTTGAAAGATGTCCACTAAAATAAGATTACGCCATTAATAATAAATGAACTTTTTATTTGATAGCATGTGGCGTCATGGCCGCCATGTTGGATGATAAACAAAATAAATGTGATTCAATTCATCCAATATGGCTGCCATGTCTTTGTCAGTCACTTCGGAATTCTTAGCTTTAGATACGGCCATTTGAAGACTAAAGGCCCTAACAATGGAAGGATCGTTTGTAATGGTTTGGTCGAGTCAAAATGTTGGCTAATATTGGTTCAAAATGAAAGCTAAATTTTGGGTCAAATGTTTGATAAATATATGCTGGGTCAAATGTTGGGATCATTTGTCAGGGTCTAACGTTTTCATAATGTATATAAATAAATTGTTTTTTACTCAGTATTTTATAGGCTGATACTTTAGCATAGGTAAGTGTCGTCTCAATGCAACATTGCTTATACTTCTCTGCAGTCACTATGTGTCAATCAAAATTTGCAGCTTTCTTTATGAATGAGCCAAGCTTGTTGAAGTATAAGTTATAGTGCACCTACCTATACTAGATTGTATGACGTCATTGCAAATTAATAATCCATTAATTTATTATACATTTGCCTTGCAATAAAGCTTAGGTATTCAGCTACACAAAGTTCTCAAAAAAAGATTGTGTTGCTTAACGAATTATCGTAATCATCAGTGACCGCTTTCCTTGGTGGTAAAAACCATTTTAAAATGTAACCAAGAAGTAAGAAAAAAATCAAGTTGGTACCTTTTGTGACGCAAAAAATATAAACTAGCTATCACATCAAAGGACCTAAATGTGATGAATCTCTACTAATAGGTTTCGTGATGTCAAAATATAATGTCCTATATTATAATATAGTTTTGTATATTTTGTCATTCAGAATATTTACAAATATTTTTAATGACAAAATCGCGATATTCAAAACCAAAGTTGAATTTAAAACTGTCATAAAGGAAAATGTACGAAATTGTATCACTTACTAGCACTAAACAAGTTGAATTTAAAGCTGATATTGAACGAAAATTACCAAATGTAACACTTGGTGTATTTAATTTGTTAAAGATCCAACTTAAGCTTGGTTACATTTCAAAATGGCGGCTTTATTTAGATAACTTTTTTTAATTATTATTTCATTTTATATATATTTTAATTTTTTTATTTAGTATTATTCTAGTATGTATTATAATGGTGTGCATTGTTCCCAAGGTTCCCAAGCTTAAGGCTGATATTGCTACATCATCTGGATACTGTACAAAATAACTAAAAATGTACACGAGTCTAAGTTACTGGTTATAAACTGACAACTAGGGGAGAGAAGTGAAAAAGAGGATGAGGCATTGTGGTCTAAATTCGATACATGCAACACCACATTATTCCGAGGATGAGGAGAAACCTTGGTCGAGTTGGCATTGCAGTGCATTGTGGGACTGTGTTAGGGGACGTGTTTTCAAGATGGCGTCTATTTCGTCCCCTAAAACAGTCCTACAATGCACTGCGATGCCAACTCGATCCAGTTTTTTCCTCAATCTTGGAATGCCTAATAAGCCATAAGAACAAAAAATGCGAGTACTGATGCTAGCTTTACCTCAATTAATGCACAAATTTTATCTCAGAAAAAGTGTATACATTTTCGAGCCCTTTGGAAGGGTTGGTCACAAAATAACAAACACAAAACTGATGGCAAATGAAAGGTAAATAAGTGGTAAAGGAAGAATATTTCTTGTCACCAGATTCACATTTGCAGGACAAAATAAGTGCATTCTCCCTCCATGTTTACCACAACACATCAGTTCATTGTTCAGACACAAAGCATTCAACTGAGACAGCAATGAAGACATTTCTTGCAGCTTCAATTCAGTGCTTCCTGTGTGACAAAAGAACCGTTGTATAATAGATTTGCACCATCAAAGGATGGCAGCCCTGACAGGAGGCAGGAACAACTGAATCTGGTCTAATCTGATTTTTATGGGAACGCATTTAGTTTCCTGGGGAAAAAGACTCTATTGTCGTGTCTCTTGTCATGGATGCCATCAGTGATGGTGCAAATCCTCTAGCTATATGTGGAAAGATGTCAGTTTTGAACCAGTTCTAGGACATATACATAAGTATATGTATAGAGTATTCATGCGTTTGATCCGTTACAAAACTGTATGTAAAGCGAATTTCAGTTAAATATTTTTGAGCTCGTAGTTTCTGTCAAGTAATCTTCCTATTTCCTATATTCATTCATATTTTCGTCGTTTGCTGCTTATTCTAAGATTTGCAGGCTCAAGATCATTGCAGTCATTAGCTTTTGCATATGCCGAGTCACTGGACCACAAGGCGGTCAGTACATGTACTTGATGAATAAAAAGCAAAACAACCAAGTAAGTTCAATGACTCTTCATTCTCAAGTTTTTAATTTGGTTTGTCCATTATATATTGATTGAATTAATGAAAAAAAACCCTTAGAAAGACAAAAGGAAACTTAAGTTAGTTACACTTGCTGTTCGTGGTGCTATGATGGATACTGAAGAGTATAGGGATTTGTAGTAGATTTACAAAGTGGAGATGATCAATTATGGCCAGTTTGACTCTTTACTTTTATGGTAAGTTAGAGCTGGAGCTTTCTGATTAAAACAGCCAAGAGCTTAGTACATGGAGAGTCTTACACAGCGAATCGTTAATAAGTCCACTGAATTGGATGTCAGTTACTTTACTCTCTCGGAGAGTTCTTCTCATAAGTTCAACATGAATCGAGACATAGATCGATGGTGCAAAATTATTGAGGATTCAAGTTAATTAAGACGCCATCCCGCTGTGCGATGGAGAAGTCAACGAACTTATATAAATGCCAGTCTCCCCAAACGTAAACACAAACAAAGATAATCGGAAGCAGATCCATTGCCTTGCTTTTTCATTGTTACCCTCGCGGAAGATCAGCCTCGACCTGCCCCAGTAGTTCATGCATAGTCTTATATATATGTACATATATAAACCACGCAAGTCGAAGTCGCCTTGATATTGAACCATGCATGCGGTTTACTGATCTAGTGTCGCCTTCTGATCACAGACAGTATCCAGCGACTGTACTTCGATACCCGCGTGTAATAAGAGTATTTTCTTGGCTGTGCACAGCCCTCGCTCCAACCGAAAAGTCCAACAACTACCCATCGTCCTGTGCGAGGATTCTGCATGACCAGTGGACTACCAATGTCTGCGAAACAAGGATCTTTCGGTTTTTTTCTATAGCCAGCACAGAAATTAAGCGACGAATCATATCTGTAAATAGAAGCTCTTTTGCATTCCTTATTTGGTACAATAGGTATTGTTACTTGCTGGAGCTCGACTGATAATGGTCCTGTAGCTTGGCCAATGCGGATTTTTTTCGTTGTACCCCACCCTGCTACTGTACCGTAATTTGGGGGTTTTTCTAATCTTGAATCTCGTTTTCTCCTTGGGATGCAAACCTGAAAAAAGTAAATAAATATACGCCATCGTATAATGGTCCATTTACAAGAAAGATAATGTGCCCTCTTAAATTATCTTGAATGCCTTCTGGGGGAGTTGCATCATTATGTCATGGTCTCCCTATAACAGGGCCTTATAACAGGGCACAAATGGGATAAGGAGGACACTAATTTTGCTAGATAATTTAATTTTAATGCAAATAAGAAGATATTTCTTAGAAAGGATAATTTAGATTTCATCGATTTGGAGCACCGCTAGTGAACTAAGTTGTCCATCCAGCTGTCCAGTTTTTCCGGCTCGAGCATCGAGTAAAGACAATAAGAATCTTATGAAGGCGTTTCACAAAACAATGGAGATATGCTGATCGTTCTTCAGAAATGAGTTTCTGATTTCTGATGATGTAGAAACATCGCCTCGCATGCAATTCTGCCCCACAAAATGGCTGCCGTAAAACTCCTCTAAAATAGAAAAAGTAGAAAATCGACACTCAAAGCAAAGTTTCTACTTACCATTCGAATGTATTTATTAGGCTTCACTGGTTTCTCCAGTTGCAGTAACGCTATGTTATTCGACAGGTTAGATCTACTGTATCCCGGATGTACCACAACCCGTCGAATTCGTCGAAATTTTTCCGTTCCGTCCACTTTATTGCGATTAAATTCACCTATATCAAAAATACAGGACAATCAATAATTTAATATGTTTAAAATTAGGGTTCTTTTTAGTTCTGCGTATATGATTGGTTATTTACGTTGTTTTTTTTGGCCAATAGACAACGAGCAACCCACTATCCAATGAGCATTCCTTTTACAAATGAGATGCAAATGTATTTCAACCAATCAGAAGCCACGTTAGTTCAGTCAAATTTTGTACCAAACTTTCAAAATGGCGGATGACAATGTTTTCAGCTGATAAAACAAACAGAGAGCTTAAAAGAGGGGGGAAGTCTCCAATTATAAGCTTATAAAAAGACTATGGATTTGGTTAATGTCTGGGGATATACAAGATGACAAAAGAAACAGGTAATAGGTTCAATATTTTCTGTAAAATTGATTATTGGCAAACAGTACCACTCGAACAAACTTGTAAAAAAAATCATGAATTGAATTTTCATTTGGTAAAAGGAAAGAAAACAGTTACTGAACGCTATAAAAATTGTTGCCAGCCTTCATAAGTTGAAAATAGTTACTTTTATTTATTGTTCTTTTATTTAAAATTTATACTTTTTCAGTTATAACAGTTATTTTGTGAGATGACAAAGTTCAAAGAGTAGTAGAAGTGGTTGACCCCATTTCAAGCAGGTTCAATCATATGCTGATTAACCTACTAAATGTTATTTATATAGAAGCGAGCATTGAATACAATTACTCTGCTTTGCATTAAAAGAAACATTCAGAACTCTTACTTAACTCCGCGAAAATAATAGTGCTGTTATATGGAAACTTAGAATCGTTCTGGTTATTTGCAATTCTTAGCAACCAAAAAAGCTTGAAAATTCATAGTATTTCATTGTTTTTTGGTCATTTTATGTTGTCAGCCACGAGGAAATATCATAAATTCAAGCTTATATCAAACGAGGAAAATGTAAGCATGGAATCACTTCTGATAGATGAGTACAAAACATGTTATGCATAAATATCAAGACACTCTTGATACACAGGTAAGTTTGAAGTTCTCTTTGACTATACTACTTCAACAACCACACACACATATAATATTTTTGACTACTTATTTATCAAGTATAAAACAACATGTTATTTAATTTTGCAATTATAATTGTACTTATTGTGTGTGAGTAAACTTAAAACATGAACTTGAAACTATTAAAGAATTGGAAAATTCCAACATTGTTTACTCCTGAGTATCAGGCTGTCACCCTGTGTTTTTCAGACTGTTTTCTTGTGTAAACCAAATTCATACATTTTGTTATTTTGATATATCTACATTTAAAACTTGAGAAGCAAGGCTTCTGATATGAAAGATTTATTGAGGATTAAGGATATCTATTCACTTACCCAAGACAACTTTGAGTTTGTGTAGTTTAATGGGCCGTCCATCTCGCCTGAGGGCATTGGCGATGGTAAGAACCCAGCCTGGCTTGATTAAAGCTCCATTGAACAAAAAGCTTTTAGCTAAAGAAACAATACAGAAACAATATGTAGTATTAATATTGGGGAAAAAGATAGGATGGAAGGTAGGAAGAAAGGGAGGGAGGGAGTGGGCAAGTGAGTGAGTGAGTGAGGGAGGGAGAAATTGAGGAAGAGAGGGAGGATAGCTGAGAGGGAAGGATGAAGAACTGAGAGAAGTAAAGGGAGGAAGGAGGGAAGTAAAGGAGGGAGGGGGTATGAGAGAGGGAAGGAGGAATAAATAAAGGAAGAAAAGGAAGGAAGGAAGGGAGAAAGGAAGAGAGAAAGGAAGAGAGAGAGATTATAAGAGAGGGAGGAAGGATCAGTAGAAATAAGAGAAAAATGGGAAGAAGGATGGAAGGAAGGAAGGAAGAGAGGAAGGTAGTGGGATGCATAAACCAATTTGCCAGCAAGAGCGACAAAGGAAGGGTGCAGCTAGGGTTTTTGTATGCCACATCATGTCCATCCTATAAGTATTCATTTTCATTCTCCAGTTTGCTACATTAATAAGTATATATAAGAAATATTAAAATGCTCCTTTAATTTGCCACAGCACTTCTAGTAGTATAGGGAATGGGGGTTCCAGCGCAATCTCAACACGGGCAAGACCCGTGTCAAAAATCCACCTACGGACAATCCCCACTCCAAGTGTGGTTGGGGGCAACAGCGCAAATATGTTAGTCTATATATGGAGTGCGAAGAATGTAAGAGAACTTTTAAGAA